TCGGCAGATGAGCAGTGTTTGTATGTGCTGCCCCCTGGCGGCCGGTCCGTCAACTGTCTATATCTGTGAATACACAGGAGAGCGATTGGAGAGCTCACGGTGAGCTCACTTGAAGAACGTTCTCAGAACGTTTCCACCACCCCCCTCACCCTGTTTTGAGCGGTTTAGAAGGCGCTCTAGAAGGCGCTTCCGGTGAGCTCACCGTGAGCTCTCCAATCGCTCTCCAGGGTCCCGAGGGTCAAAGCACGTTAAGAATTATCAAATAAATGCTTTTGATTGACTGATTTTTTCGTGTGAATACTTTTGTATTTTATTGATTTTGCAATCCTTTTCTCACTGCTTATAAATCTACACCAAAACAGCATTTAGGTTAAAATAAAGGGCCTGGAGGGGGCATCAGTGCGATCGGTCCAACCGAGCGTTTAAACCGAGTGCCCAAAGCGCGCGCCGCCGCCTAACCGGAACCGGATCCGGATAGTGTTTGGGCCTACTAAACTCGCGTCGCCACGATCGAGCATCAGCGCCGTGACTTGTACTTTTGTGCTACTGTAGCTATTTCACCGTTTTTCACAGAGTGTTCCTGCGCATTGATCATCTAAAAGCTGTACAGCAAAGGTAGGTCTGTCAGCTCACGAAGTTCAGGAGCGGTTTGCACGCCCAGCCGGCTTCTTGCGATTGCTCGTTTACTTCTAACCTCTCTCGAACCGACGGGAAAGACTCGTTCAGAAATTTGTTGCTACCGCTGAGCTGGTTTTGCTCGTATCGGAACATTTTATTTCAATTTGTTGCACATGGTATACATTATCATAGTTTAACGGCCAAAGAGCTTTGCATTGGCTTTACTCAAACCTATACCCGTTCCATCCCATCTACCACTTTAGGTTAAGCACTATCTAGAAATAGAAATATCTAAGAAATGTAATTCAATTTTATCACCTTCGAAATGGTAGGAATATACTGCAACATATCTGAAGTGTTGTCATACATTTTGGTATAAGGAAGAACAAGATAAGAAATTGATAATGATGATGAAGTGCAGTTTCGAACAGAACCCAATGTGAAGTGGTAGTGATAATACGTGTGAAAAGTGAAATGTCTTAAGGAAAACACAGAACAAAACAGTGCTGATGAGTACTGTCTACTTGTTTTTTATCATACTAGGTTAACGAAAATTTGTGGGACTATTGAGTAACTAAAACTAAATTCAAGATTCTCCGCAAAACTTCCCCTGGGTAACACGGTTCACAACTTCCAACTTCCTTGATAAGTAGACTAAGACACTACAATATTTGGTTCAACATCTGCTATCCTATCCAGATATTATGACACATGTCACTTGCGAAAGAGCACAAAAAGATGCATTGGCGTATTTCAGTGGGAGTATTCCCAATCATCAGTGCCCACTTAAAATGTGACAGAATTCACGGGAGAACACAACTCACTGGGTACTTCCGGCAGTAGGTACCCGGAGCATGCAGCACACATCACAACTGAAATTACACGCCATAACTTGATTTTGTTTAAGGTGGCATAGCATCAGTGATTTTTTTCTTTTCTCTTTTTTTTGTGTGTTGGAAAAGGGGAGAAAGGGGGGGAGACGGGCATCATGAGCGGATTTGAAGCATTTGCTGTTTGTGATCCGGTTTATCGAATGTCCTCTACCAGCTCGGATCGCTTCGCCAATCGTTGGGTCGAACTAAAAGCCAAAATAAATGGGTGCTTTTCTGTCATTTTCAAACCTCTTTAACGCGTGATTATTACCGTGGTGTTTGCAGCGGACGGTTCGGTAGGCGTGCTTTTCCTCGGTCGCGTCCAATCGGAGGCCACGATGGAACAGTTGTCGGAAGCGATGTTGGCGAGGGTGCTGCGGCACCTGGACGTGAGGGACCTGTTGGCGTGCCGCCTCGTGAGCAAGAGGCTGGGCGCGGCCGCCCTGCACCCGGACGCGTGGAGCCACCGCGAGCTGGTCGGCGACAGGCCGTGCGTGTGCGCGGTGCTGCTGCTGGCGCCGTGCCTGGCCAAGCTGGTGTACCACAACCACAGGGTGTTCCACCGCCGGGCCTTCCTCAGGACCAGGTGCGCCGTGGCGGAGCTGGCGCTCGTGCTGCACCAGCCCGACGGCCACCACACCGTGGAGGCGGCGGTGGTGCTCCGCAAGCAGGAGTCGCTCGGCCGCCTCAGGCGCCTCGAGCTGTGCAACTTCTTCCGCTCGACGGGCAACGAGGTGCTGGTCAGGACGGTGCGCGCGGCGACGGCAGCCCTGGACGCGCTCGTGGTGATGGGTGGCGTGCCCTCGGCGGCGGGCAACGTGCAGTACGAGCTGCCCGAGCCGGGCCTCAGGCGCTTCACCTTCACGCGCGGGGCCAGCCTCGTGGACCACTGCACCGAGCCGTTCGTCAACGCCGTCCTCGCGTCGCACGGCGCCACCCTGGAGGAGGTGCACCTCGGCCCGGGGCCGCTGAGCCCGGCCTCGGACACCATGGCCGCGCTGCTGGCGGGCGCGCCCCGGCTGCGCGCGCTCACCTGCGAGATGCTGCCGGGGCTGCAGGCCGTGTCGGCGGCGTGCCCGGCGCTGAGCGAGCTGGTCCTGCACGCCTACCCCTCCGCGCCCTACAAGGACGCCCTGCGGTTCCTCCGCGGCTGCAAGCGCCTGCGCAAAGTCTCCCTCAAGTACACCTACTTCGACCTGGGCGACAGCGACGACAGCGACGGCGGCGACGACATCTTCCCCGACTACGGCACCGACATGGTGGAGGCCCTGGCCCCGTCCTCGGCCATCATCGAGCTGCTCTCCGTGTCCGGCCTCTACCTGCCGTGTCCGGTGCTCGAGCTGCTGCCGCCGATGCCGGCGCTGCGCCAGCTGGAGGTGTTGGAGGAGCCGCTCAACGACGAGCTGCTGCTGGACGTGACGCCCGCCAGGGCCCCCGCCCTGCGGAGCCTCAGGCTGTCGACAGACTGGAAGCAGTGCGGCCACGCCTGGCTGCACAAGGACGCCCTGAGGACGGCCCTCGCCGCCAACCCCTCCCTGCACGTGCAGCTCAAGGGCCCCATCGACTGCCCCTTCGCCGAGTGCGAGCCGTGCGCCGTGCTGGGCTGCCACCGGGAGGTGGGCTGGTACGCGGTGGACCAGCTGGGCGTGTTCTCGCACCCCCCGGGCGAGTGCCCCGCCCCCGAGCACCACCCCGTCGACGTCCCGTGGCCGTGGCTGCACATCCCGTGCAATGCCGAGTGAATGCGGTCGCTTTGATCACCTTATTTCCAATTTTTTGTTGTGTTGTATGCTATGGTACTTTAGATGTCTCATTTTGTTTGGGTATTTCTGATGCTAATAATAAATAATTGAGCGTTGCAATTTGTTGTCCTTAATCTCCTCTCAGAATAGACCCCCCGTGGTTGTCGCCTACGCGTCGACAGCAACGACGACTGCATTTTGTTATGTCAGACATGGATTGTCCGAAAACTAATGAGCACTACACTTCCTCAACACTGATAAACATACAATAGTTTCAAACTACAAGAAAACACTCATCTATTTATCATAGTCAATAATTTAAGATGTATCTTTGATGAATATTAAAGGTCCAGAACAAAAACTAATTATCAAACAACGGGGGGTTGGTCTGCGACTGTCAAAAAATTGCTAGTTACTCCTAAAAGATGCCGTTAGTGGTTGACCTTTAAACCCTTGAGACCTTTAGTTTTAAATCGATGCGGTGGGTGGTTTTTCACCATTTTCCTAAACTCTTAATTTCACAAGTCTGCCCCGTTAAACTAAAGGCCCATAATAAACAAAGATATCACCCAAAAAGGTGCATACACAAAGGCCATATCTCCTAAACCGTGGGTACGTTTCGCAGTTAACAAGAATTGTTAACGTTTTTTCTTGCACGTAATAGGACTTGACCATCGGCTGAGCGCGAACACGTTGGGTTGCCACCCCAAGCATCAGATCTAGTCTGCCGGAGGTCCTGCTGTCCGCCGACCAAGAGGGCCAATGGAAAAGCCCCCATGGCGCAGGGCGATGCACGCAGGGTTGCCGCGTCGGGACGGGCGCGATGAGGAGGTGAGAACCTCCCCCGCCCCCTTCTACCGGTCCCGGGACGCCAGTCAGTCAGTGCGCCGACGACTGGAGACGGTGACGGTGCCGACACGACGCGACGGGAACCTCCCGGACCCAGCAGCAGCGGCGTATGTTGAGTGTAAAACGGTTTCTTTAACGACGCGCCACCCCTACAGGTCATGGAGCGCCTGCCGGACGAGCTGCTGCTCATGGTGATGCGGCACCTGCCCGTCGACGAGCTGCTGGCGCTGCGCCTGCAGTGCAAGAGGCTGCGGGGCCTGGTCGCGGACCCGTCCCTCTGGCGCGACGTGCGCCTCGGCCTGCGCCTCGGCCCGGGCGCCCTCTCGTGCGCCGTGCTGCGCGTGGCGCCGTGCGTGGCGGCCGCCGACCTGTCCGCCAACTGTCACCTGCTCGTCGCGGCCAGCACCAGGTGCGCCGTCGTGGAGCTGGTCCTACCCGGCCTGAGCACCAACGAGTACTTCGATTGCGCCGCCGCGGTGATCGACAACCAGGTGGCGCTCGGCGGCATGAGGCGACTCGCGGTCACCCTGGACCACTCGCTCAAAGTGAAGCACCGGGAGTCGCTCTCCACGCTGTTACGGACCATCGCGGCGGCGACGGCCATCCTGGAGGAGCTCAGGATCGAGGGGAAGCATGAGGTCCGCTGGCAAGAGAGACCCGCCGTGCCCGCGACGACGCCCGCGCCGTCGCTGAAGCGCCTGCACTGCGACGTGGCTCACATGACGGTCGCCTTCTGCAACTTCGTGCTCAAGGCGCACGCCGCCACCCTGGAGGCCGTGCACATCACGGCCATCGCGGCCTTCCTCAGCCACACCGTCCCGCTGCTGGTCGGGATGCCCCGCCTGCGCTCGCTCAGCTGCCCCGCCGGCATCCTGGGCATCCGGCTGCTCGCGGACAGCGCCGTCACCCACCTCACCCTGGACGTGTCGGACGACTTCAGCGAGCACGACGTCGCCGAGTTCCTCGGCCGCGCCGACCGCCTGAGCGCGCTTACCCTGGTGAGCCGCTGGACCCACCCCGTCGCCGGGCGGCTCGTCTGGGCCCTGGCCAAGTCGGGCCGCTCCAGCCTGGAGTCGCTGTTCATCGCCAAGAACTTCTACGAGGCGGCCGAGGTGCGGCTGCTGCTGAGGTCGCTGCCCCTGCTGCCGGCGCTCGCCCACCTCGAGGTCGGCTACGTGCCCGTGGACCTGCTGGCGGGCATCACCCCCGCGACGGCCCCGGCCCTGCGCCGCCTGGCCGTGCGCAAGACCGTGGGCGGCGGCTGCCCGCACGACCTGCTGCACCGCCGCGCCGTCCGGGACCTGCTCCTGGCCAACGGCGACCTGCACCTCGAGCTCCGCGTCGTCCGCGCCGACTGCAAGTGCCCGCTCAGCCCCGACTGGAAGAGGACCTGGCCGGACAAGTGCCCCTGCATGACGGTCGGCTGTCACCCGGGCCTCGGGTCGCAACGCCACGTGGTTCTCTTCACGCACGGCAGTGGAGAGTGCACCCTGCCGGGGGGGCGACACGGCGACGGGTCGGGCGGCCCTCTGTGGTTGCACGTCACCCGCGGAGAACTTCAGACCATCGCGACGTTCGCCTGATAATGATTTGATGGCGCCAGGCTTTCTATCACGGTGTAACACTGATGCGTAAAATATCCCACTTGTACTCCGTGTGTGTGAATGTGTTATCAGTTTGTGTCGACACAATATGGATTCTGGAAATAAAATGTGTATCCAAGAATTATTTCTACTTTTGCTCTTCACCCTTCTCTTTGGATTTCTCTACTGGCCTATAGACAATTATGGGCTTTTTGTGCGCGATTCATCGCTCTGTACGGTACACTGTTTTTTCTGTAATTTTTTCTGACGTTGCATTTTTTTTTTATATATGTATACTGTTCACTGATTTCGTCTGAGTCACGCCCCCGAGCGAGCGTAGAGAGAGCGAACCAGCAGACATCGTAAACGACTAGTTGGAACATTTTTAATGCTGATTGAGAAAACTATATGATTTTTGGGAAAGGGTCGGCCGGTTGGTGGTGCGTAACAGTTTCTCGACTTGCCCCCACAGCGCTTTTATCGCCCTGACCTCGAGAGGTTTTCCACGTCGTGGGTCAGGCAAAATATGACACGTCACATGGCTGAGCAAAAAACATAGTATTTTATTGGATCGTTGAGCAACAAACAGGAGGTGACAGGACAGAGCGCTCCTCTCATGCGTCTGCCCACGGCACTGCGCCACATTCACGACACTGCATCCTGCACTTGGTGACTATTTGCCGCAACGTCTTGAGGCGCTGAGGGCAGGACAACCTGCCCCTCGGGGGGTGGACGGACCAGGTGACCACCATCCTCCTGAGCTCCCGCACCTGCGGTAGGCCGGAATCCCGGAGCACGCGCTGCAGCTCGCTCCAGGTGACGTGGCAGTCTCGCCACCCTTCCTCGTGCACCTCCACCTCCAGCTCCATGAGCGAGCGGGCGTACGTCCACAGCATGTACTGCAGCGCCATGGGGTGGACGTTGCGGCCCGTCCTCAGCCAGCCCACGCCGTCGCTCTCCCCTCGCGGCGGGAGCGGGACCGTGGGCATCGCGACAACGCCACTTGAGTCCACGACCAACCTCTGGAGTCGTGGCATGGCGAGAATCGTGCTCAGGTGAGCCAGGTTGGCACCAGTCACAATCAGCCGCTCCACCGTTTGTGCGACTTTCCGCAGTCGATGGAGAGCGCGGGCGGGGTCTTGCCCGCAGTCTACCTGGATCAGCCGTTTGACTGGCATCATCTGCAACAACAGTACTAATATTTGAGCCCCTCTTTTCACAGGGACTAGTCGCAGAGAATTGCCACAAAATTTTCACATTTGGCGTCAATCATTTTTTCACGTTATATGTATACCTGGTCGTCCTCCTGGTCATTCTCTTCCTTCCACCTGTGCATCAAAGTCGGGGGCGCCGTCGCAAGGCCGACGGCTGCTGGTGGCCTGGCAGCTGCAGCACGCTCGGCAGCTGGTGGCCTGGCAGCTGCAGGGCGCTCGGCAGCTGGTGGCCCGTCTGTTGGAGGGGGCTCGGCAGTTGGTGGGCCGTCGGCGGCGGCGTCTCGAACCTGCGCAATGCAAAGTTAGCGAAAACAAGAGAAAGTTCGTCGGATTGATATGGCTGTAACTACATTCGCCTTGCGAGAATGATGTGACTTTCGTAGGGGGTCGGCTTTACCCTCTTTGGACCGTTTTATTGATAAACCTCGAATTGGTCGTAGAGGCATAAATAGCAGTGTAGCGCAAACTTTTGAGGCATGGGAAGTCTGCCTCTAGGATGTACGCTTTCTCACGACGCCGTTCGATGACCCCCCCCCCCCTCTCCCCCTCTTGCTCACTATACCTTTGAGAGGGGAAACTTCTCCGCCAGCACCAGCCACATGGCCTTGGTGAGTGCGTCCTCCGCGTTCCTCACGGTCCCCGTCAGCTCGTGGCGCCCGCTCCGCAGGGTCAGGCTCCAGGACGCTTCGGACTGCAGGACTAGGAGGGTCTCGGCGTGCTGGCACTCGCGGAGGAGGTCCTCGAGCTGGCCGGCGGCCTGCCGCAGCTCGCCCGCGCGCAGGTGGCGCCTCAGGGCGGCCTTGACGGCCAGCACCTCGTGCTCGTCCCAGCAGCGGCGCGCGGCCGCGGCTCGGCAGTCGCAGCACCAGCCGCGTCGGACCCTGTCGCAAAACGCACAGTTAGCGCGAGATATTGCACCGAGTGTCCGGCACACTGTGAAAAATAGTTGCAGCCTTTACGGGATAATTTTTTCACAAAGCGTGCCGTCAAGTTACAGTTTGCGATAGTAAATTTACAAGCATTTTCCAAGACACGAAATTTATCGGACGATCAAGATTAGGCCGTCGTAACTTTAAATCATATTTTGTAAAAAAAGTAAATTACAAAACAAATTGTAAATTTACGAGGATATTTTTTGCAGGGTTTTCACACACGTCACGACGGGCCTTACCTGGCTTCACCTTGCTGCTCCAGGTTCTCCAGCAGAGTCAGATTGCTGAGGAGCGACGCGGGGGCGGCGTCGAACACCTGGACAAACACGCGACACAAATACTTAAAAATGTAACGGAACGCATTGCGATGTCATTAACATTTGGTCACATTATGGTCACACGGCAGGCTGGCTGCAGGCCAAACTGCAACATCACTGATAACCAAGTATTCAAACACGCATTTGCAAGTGTTCTTCGTATAAAGCTTGACTCAATAGCACGTTTCTGAAACTCACCTTGTTGCAAGTGGGGCACTTGGTCTCGCTGCCCCCCTGCAGGCACCGCAGACACACGGTGTGGCCGCAGGGCACTATCTTGGGGGCGCGCACCTCCCGGTCGAACTCCTCGTCGCACACCTTGCACTGCATGGCGATGTGGGGCTGCAAATGAGGCGGTACGGTGAGCCAAAGGGACACTTGTCTTCACTTCACCCTACGTAGCCCCCCCACCCCCCCTCCCTTTTCCGAGTGCGAATTCGATTGTTCGGTGAGAGTGATTTGACCTCAAATGTTAATTTTACCTCTGTGACTGTCCCGCTGCTGCTGCCGGTCGATCCGGTTGGAGAACGGGAACGGTTGCCGTGCGGCGCTTCGACTTCCAACTGATGACACGGCCACGATGACTCGACTCGACTGTCAGTCCCAGCCCAGACCCAGCCAGCAGGGCAATCCCCATCCCCGCACGCCCCGACTCTCCGGATCTCCGGGGAATCCAGGATCCACGGCCCGGCATCTGCCCCCCCCCCCCCTTCCCGACCTGGGTCATTCCATGCGTCAGGCACGGCAGTTTAGGTCTAAGTTAGGACCCTCTACCATCACTACCCTTGCTCAACCCCAGTCCTCAGTCGCTTAACATCCCTAGCCGGGTCCAGGTCGCTGCTGCTCTAGGCCTTAGATCATCTACTCGACTTCGAGTCTTCGAGTGAACAGCTTTTTCACACAGGTAGGCATTGTTGTGTCCCTTGCGCTGCTGTTGGCGGACGGACTTGGGCCGTGCGCCCGTGCGACCTAGTGTACTACAGCGTGCTGTCCTGTTGCAGAGTGTGCTTCCCGCGCGGTCTCTGGCCATGGCCCTGAAGCTGGTGGACGACGTGCTGCTGGTGGTGATGCAGTACCTGGACGTGGAGGACCTCTTCGCGTGCCGCCTCGTGTGCAAGCGCCTCGGCGCGCTGGCCCTGCACCCGGACGCGTGGCGCCACCGCCGGCTCACCGAGCGGCCCAAGCCCAAGCGCTGCTACTGCGCGGTGCTGCGCCTGGCGCCGTGCCTCGACGCCATCACGTACTACTCCGACAAGCACACCCGGGCCTTCGTCAAGACCAAGTGCGCCGTCGAGGACGTGCACCTCGACCTGGGCATCTGCGGCTCGGCCGCGGAGGCCGGGCTGGTGGTGCGCAACCAGGAGGCGCTCGGCCGCCTCAAGAGCGTCTGCCTGTGCTCGTGCGTCGGGGCGGTCGACGGCGACGTGCTGCTGAGCACGATCGCGGCCTCCTCGGCCCTGACGTCGTGCCGCCTGACGAACCCCTGCCTGCCCGCCACCAAGCGCGCCGTGGTGCGCGGCCCGCCCCGGCCGTCCTTGCAGTACTTCGACTGCCAGCTGTCCAGGGCCACGCAGCCCTTCGTCAACCTCCTGCTGGCCGGGCACGCCGCCACCCTGCAGGAGGTCCACATGCACCACGCCGGCGGCGCCTCGGCCAAGTCGGCGGGCCTCTTGGCCGGCATGCCCAAGCTCCACAACCTGGTGTGCGACCTGCTCCCGGGGCTGCAGGCCGTGGGTGCGTGCAGGTCGCTCAGGAACGTGACCCTCCTCGTGCGGCCCTACAGCCCGGCCGCCGTCCGGGACGCCGTCAAGTTCCTCCGCCGCGCCGCGCAGCTCACGACGGTGGTCCTGGGGTTCGCCGAGGACGACCCCGCCGAGGAGGACGTCCCCGCCGACTTCGGCGTCGAGCTGCTCGCGGCCCTGACGCGCACCCTGGAGGGGCTGTCCGTGATCGCCCACCCGTCGTTCTCGCTGCGGCCGCTGGTGCTCGCGCTGCCCCGCCTGCCCTGCCTCACGCAGCTGTCCGTCACCCACGCGCCGCTGACCGACGACCTCCTGCAGGGCATCACGCCGGCCACGGCCCCGGCCCTGCGCAGCCTGCAGCACCGGCGCCTGCCGGACGGCGAGGACTGCACCCACGCCTGGATGCACGGCCCCGCCGTCGGCGCCGTCCTTGCGGCCAACCCCTCGCTGCACATCCTGGTGCGCGACCCCGCCTACTGCCGCCGGCCCTCGTGCCGGGCGTGCGCGAAGGGCTGCCACCGGGAGCTGGCCCTGGGCCTGAACGAGCTCGCCCTGTTTGGGCACACCGTCGGACAGTGCCCCTCGCCGGAGGCGCACACTGACACCCGGGACACCGTTCCGTGGCGGTGCCTTTGGGCCCGCGTTTGAGACCATCGTGTTGTGTTTTTCTGCCAAATTTATTTTTGTTTTTTTCTAATGTTTTTCACTTTGAAGTGTCGTATGGATAATAAATTATTTTTTAAATTTATGGCGTATACATTCTTTTCTACACTTTTGCCCCTTCTCATCCAAATTTCACTTACAAAGTACAGTCCACGAGCGAGTTCATCGAGTCTCGATATGGATTTTTTAACTGGTCAATGAGTTGCAAGAATACCCAGGAATTCAAAATTCAAGTCATAGGCAGACCGAAAACCACGGATTTTCAAAACTCATGATGACCTAAAAAAATGTGCTCTATCAGTTCAGTAACGTCGATATATTTTCAAAGAGAAAGCAGAGAACTGCTCTAGTGTAAAACGCATGAATTCCCAATCTTACACCACTCTTACCGAAACCCCTCTACCTGGGGGAAGAGGTTTTCGCCAAATGGAAAATGAACCTGTACTTTCCGGAGTGGCGGTGTGAGGATAGGAAAGCGCTGCACAGTGTCTGGGGAAATCCATGTATTTGTTTCTATGTTTTCAGGCTGGTGAGCGTTTCTGGAAAAAAACATCTGCCCGGCGATCTGAGTTGGACGGCCCCCGCCCAGCCCCTTTTCTGGCGGAGCTAGCGAAGCGAGTCTGCTTGAGACTTAAGCTCTCCCCACGGTGACCGGACCTGACCTTTGACCTTCACACTCGCAGCGTGTTGCACAGTACCTGAACATCTCCAGCGCCATGGCCGACGACAGGTATATGAGCGACTTAGGCCGAACACCCGCAGGGTTGCAGGGTTTGGTAGTATAAAGACTCCAGGACTTGCAGTGTCCCTTAACTTGACCCCTCTCTTTCTCCCCCAGGGCCCTGAG